ATTTGAATCATAGACCCGTACTGCGACCTGCGAATAATGCTTGTTTGACCAGAGACCCGATTGACTGGATCCGGCTTGGTCCATGCATTCTTTGATCTCCTTCACAATGGGCTCCTGCAGGATATCCTCCAAAGGATCATGAGACATTGCAGTCTTTCGCACAGGTGGCACCGGCGGTGTACTCTTCGATGTACTCTCTGGTGTACGAGGTCTTGCACGCTGTTTTGTCCATGAAGGTTCAATCCAGCTCTTGTCAACTCTTTTGCTTTCCCGGTCACTCCAGTTCTCCCAATCGGAGTGCTCATACTTGGTCGAACGCCCTGGACGAATGTCTTGGCATGGAGCGGCGCCTGTTGGTCTCGAAGGCTTGGAAGGTGCGCTCGGGCGAGATGGCAAGCTACGATGCCCTGAAGAATTCTGTGGAACGATCTTCACGGGGCTCCTCGACACGGGGCTCTCCTTCGGTGAAGGGCTCCTCTTCTTCGCTGGACTCTTCTTTCTTGGCAGCGGTGACCTCCTTCCGGAGTCGCGCCTCGAGCGCGATCGCCTGCGGCCCCGCCGCGGGGTCCTGGAATCTCTGCTGCTGCGATGTCTCCTTCGTGGCGAACGGGATCTCGGCTTGAGTTCAACCGGCTCTGACTTCTGCGACTTGGACATGTGCTCAATGACACTTGCAAGCTTTGCGACAGTAGCTGTCAACTCCTTCAGCTTCTGATCTCGTTCGTCTTCTGGATGGCGACTGGTGCATGCTTCATCCGTTTCTGGATGGCGCCTGGTGGACGCTTCGTCCGCTGAATCGCCACACATGTAGACCTCGAGGATCTACTATATACCTGGCTGCCCTTGGAATGATCTTGGACTTGGCATCCGGAATCGAAGTCGAAGGTCGTGGCGTGTCCTCAGCTGGTACATGGCTTGGCGGAGGAGGAGGAGGTCCTCCCCTAGGCACTGTGTGTCTCTCGCCGACCGGTAATGCAGTCATCTGGATCCAACCAAACCTCTTACATATGTCGAGGCTCGATGAAGTATCCTTGCATTCGTGGCAAATGCCACCGCAACGCACGCTGCTCCAATGCTCCGAGAAGCGTAATGAACCAGCGTCACAGTGAATCCAAGCTCAACCATCATTGCCGAAAAACAGGATGCACCCCCGACGGACCTGCGGCGTCCGCCACTACATCCAAACTCGACAACGCAGCCGCCACCACGGGCGTATTTTTCCACAAAATCACGCGCATTCTGTAGGTGACGACGCATTTCTCCATGATCGAGAAGTGCTTCCTAGATGCGAGGATGCGTTCCAATGTGGGCTGACATAGTTTTGTCTCGATCCGGATCATTCAGATTCTTCAAGTCCACTCGGAGAAGTGGCCTGCGCCCTACTTCCCCTCGATACAAGGGCTGTTCGTAGCGAGATCCTTTGCTCACGATCAAGACCTGTGTCTGTGCGAGGTCAATGGCAACTTGCGCATCCTTCTGCCTGCTGAACCTTTGGCCAGTGAACGCGGCCTCATACTCATTCGTGGCAACATGCAACGTTTCGAGCCATGTAGCAACAGCGGAACTTTCGATGACACTTCGGGCGGCATCAATCAGTCCCCCGGTCAACGAAATCATCGAAAGACCTGTTTTGCTGCAACGAAAGATGGGAAGTTGGCGACCTTCAATATGAATGGTGCCTTTTGCCAAATCCTTCACAAGGCCTAAGTGGGACTGTGCATGAAGCGACAAAAGCATCGGCGATCGACCCTCTTGGAGCTGATGGGATTCAAGGATTCCTCGAATGAGGTTTTGGTCGTCTTGCGTGTTCAACGAAAATGGCAAAACCCTGCAACCTTGGGTCTTGTCGCCTTGACTCCCAAGACGTGAGAAAACCTTGCCCTCTTTCGATGCCCAGCCTACTTCATAACCCACTTGCTTGAATTTGGCTTCTGCTTGCTCCATCCAGTATTGTGAATGGCAAGTGCTTATTGCAACCCTAGTCCAAAACATAGATGTTGGGGTCACTATCGCACCACATGTCTCTAGTTTCCTGTTGGGGGTATGCCAGACCATTGCTCATGCTCGAAGGCACTTCCGAATGGAACACGAATGCACTGGTTTCGACGGCAGCGTAACCTATGTGTTCGGGGTCCCGAAGGCCCCAGGCAATCTCATCTCCGATTGGGTCCTGCTCCAACAAGATCTGGTCTCGGAACGCAGCTTCTTGCAGTAGTTCATGAAGTCGAGTCTGGGTCAGGGTGTCAGGCGACGACGAACATTCGGACTCAACCAAACCGCTGAAAATGCCTAAGATTCTACCTACAGTACCGTTTCTGGGGTCAAAACTTCTTGATCATCTCGAGTGATGGCTTCAATGACGCTAACCTTGTCTTGGGTTGTTGACTCAACAGCTTTTGCCAAGGCAACTCGCTCACGGCGTAGTTCCATTGGCAGTTCATCAACGAACGAACAACATTGCTTGCACCACACGCGATGAGTCGAACGGCTTGATCTCCTGTTATCGGTGGATTCACGCGGGCAATCTTCAGGCTTGTACTGGGGTTTCTCTTCCCTTTTCTCGGTGGATGAATGCCCACAACGCAAACACGCGCGACGAATCGTGTATCCCGTGCTCCCTCGGAACGAAAACTCCTGGCAGTTCTGACACTTGTTGGGCAATGGCGGAGAAGGCGGTGTCGCCTTTGCAGTTCCTTTCTTGGTGCTACCGGGCAATGCAGGGGGAGGTTGAACAGGTTCATCTCGAAGGAAAATCTCTCCACCCCTGAACTCAAAGAACTGGTCAACCCATTGCACATACTGCTGGATTCCGAGAACACGAGAACCTTCCTTCTTTGCCCATACATAGAATTGGGGTTGTCGATGCAGAACATCCCAATAGGTCTTCCCCTTGAACTGTCCAATCTGAAACACATTGTCGAATCCCATGGGGCGCTCGACCGACGACGGAGTCACTCGGGCGCCTAAGTCGGACGAAGTGGCACCATTTGCATGAGCCATGGACGACTGTGCTTGCGACGGACGGGGACGTGAACCCTTACCAGATGCTCCTGAGCGAAATGCCATCATGGCAGCATTGGTCTGCTCATTGGATGTGGCTGCACCTACATAAACAAACCCTTCTTCATCATCTGATGACTCACTCTCATAGGCTAGGTTGGCAGTAGGCTTCGGGGGTTGTGGCTTGTTGGCAAACTTGCAACCAGGGTCACCTGCCCAATGTCCCATGCCTCCACAACGAAGACGCTTGGACTTGGCCTTCAGGTCACGAAGCTTGGCACGGCGTTCCTCAATGCTCATCTGGCTGCGGACAACCTTGCCTTTGCCTTTACCTTTGAAACCTTTCTTGCCGAAACCTTTGCCTTTGCCTTTCGCTTTGCCGAATGCATTGAATGCAGCGAGCTGAAGCTGGATAGCTTCTCCTGCTTGACGATCGTCGGCCTCCTCGAGGTCCAACATTGCATTCCAGGCAATTGCTTCTTCTTCATCTTCATGATAATCGAACTCTTGCTCCTGCACTTCTTCTTCTTCATCAAATCCATCTCCCAACCAGGCGTGGGAGTCGCCTTCATTCAGGGTACGAGACATACGCAGAACGAAATGATTTGCCTTTGCCAGAATGACTATTCGAACCATAGCTCTTGCCCTTCCCAGTCATAGGTGAAGAGCGGCCTTGCCATGTCTTGCCACCTTCTCTGAGGTGAACTCCTGAGTAGTGGTCAACGAGAACCTTGCTATATCCTTCGAAGTTCTTGGGGTTGGCACATGCTTTGGTCACAAGGATCTCCTGGCGTGACAAACCAGACAGTTCGAGCAACAGTTCGGCACGAAGACTGTCACTCAGCATCATGGTCGAGAATCCAATTCCTGCAGCACGGACCACCAACGGTTGCGACGGTTGGTGTACGACAGCATGGACTCTCCAGACAGGCGAGACAAAGGGCCTCCGTGCTTCTGGCCAGCACGGAACAACTCCTTCGCCTCCTCATTGGCACGTGGGCAAACGAAAGCCTTCATCTTCTGCAGTAGGTCTTCCAATCCTTCCTCACTGGTCAGGGCATCAAGACCGATGTCCCTGGCGAGCAAAAAGGCATCTCCACGCAAACCAAGAATCTTGTTCACGAGCGGGCTGATATCTGGCTTGCTGACTACTACTACTACTACTTCTTCTTCTTCTTCTTCATCTTCTGGGTCGACAAGAGGGAAACCTGGGAGCTCAGCGTCCTCCTCAGTACCTCCATTGGGCATGTCACCCTTCTTTGGTGTTGTCGCTGGTGCACTCCTTCTAGAATTGTTCTTGCGCTTGTTGCCTTCATTCCACAAACGAATGCGAAGGCGGGTGCGGAATTCCCAGTCATGAAACGATGCGGCATCACCATAGTAGATGTACGAACCAGATTTGGTCTCCAAATGAGCACCGCCTGCTGAATTCTTGTCGGGGTTAAAGCGAAGTTCTGCGACCGACATTCCTTGTCTGTCAGGCCTCAACGGGCAATTTCAAGAACACTTGTTTGCAAATTCGAATCCTGGATCGGCGGATTTACAGGTTGATGGATGAAATTGGTCCCGCCCGCGACGTCCAACGGCGTTTTCATGCAGGCGTAAGCGCGGATAAGCTCAAGGGCCCTGTAAACCCAAATATACCAACAACAGGGAAAATTCACACCGGTTACCATCGCAAAAAGCACCATCCCCCTCTCTTCTTATACTCTCGCTATCTGGGAAGAAAAAGTAGGGCCCCCTTTCATAAGGTCACTATTTAAAGGAGCTTATGAAAATAAAAGGGTCGTGCCAACAGCCTTGCCTCCAAAGCGAGTCAAGAACCCGGCAGAGGATCATGCGGCATCTATCCAGCTCAAAGTGTGTCTAATAGAATGAATTCCATGCCAAAAGGGTTCGAAGGAGTTAGCAGGATGACTTCGCATGTTTTTGACTAAGCCAGTCAGTACCCACTTCTATCCCCTCTTCTATCACCACCACTTCTAGCACATCCAAGAAACTCAACTGCAGGTGTACACCTGACGGCTTCCCGCTGATATTACGAAGCACACTTGCAACACCTGCAAACAAGGCATTCCATCATATCATACATTTGTCGCCTGACCTTGAGTGTATTCATAAATGTACCTTCTGTATATTAAAAGGTCTTAGCTTCTTTCGCATTACTCCAGGTGGAAACGAATCTTGTCTCCAAATTACTACAGTAGAAGAGTTCGTCAAACCGCAAGAGTTTCCACTTCAGCTGCCTGTGATTTTGCTAGGCTCATCCAATTGGAAAACTATTCTGACATCTGCAGGCTCGTCACTTGGATTTTTCAAAACGACCTTGGCAGATGTGACAATTCTTCAGTTTCAACCGGATCTGACGTTCCAGAGGCCATTATACACATTCACATAGCTGAAACCGTGAAAGCAAATGACTTTGGTAGAGAAGAAGCAAAAGGTCTCTTTCGGCCTGAAAGGCATGATTCTTCTCTTGGCTTTTCAAAAGCACACGCCATGCGTGACCATCACCCCACGCAGGAAGACCTGGAAGCGACTGAAGACTAGCCGCGTGACTAGCCTCTCAGCATGTTCCAAGTGCATTCAGATGAAGGCCTGGTCCGATCTCATCGTACACCAAGGGACGGGGTATCCCACCCGCTGTCCTCCCACAATGAACCACAAGTTGTTTTGAGTGCAGCATCCGAAGAAATCCGCCTCAATGGCCTGGCACACGTTTTGGAAGGACCAAATCCACAAAGAGACTCACCAAGCCTTGGGTGCGAAAGCAACAAAGGTCTCCAACGACCACACTGCCTTTGATTTGATGTGCATTTGATTTGGTTCAACTTCGTTTGCCGGGTCACGGGCAGCAGTCTGCAGGCACGGACGCCTCATCGAACTTTCTCCTCCACTCTACAGTGCATAACAGTCCCTGTGAATCTTGGCATCCAATCGTCCAATGTATGCTTGACACCTGCTGTTCTCTGCACTTGTATTCACAGTCAAAAGTGGGCCAAACCATGTCTCTTGTTGTGAACAGTCATGTTCTACTGTATTCTACAATTCATAAAAGGTGCCCAAATAAACCTCAAATCGGATGAGCCCTGACCTTGGCACTGAGTAGCAAAGGCCCACCCCACTATATCCGCGTCCAGCGACTGTAGCGAAGCCATCTTCCTGGTGCATAAAGCAAGAACACTGTAGTTCCTTATCGGAGATTTATATATATATATAAAGAATGATGTCATATTTATCGGGAAATTTTCCAGAAAACATCGCAACAATATGATATGATCAATGTCCACCACAAACATGATGTCGGGCGTCCTGGAAGTGTCCCAGGAAGTCCACGTCGTCTCCAATAAGGTGAACATCAAGGCACTTAGGCCAGACGCGCAGCTCCAAAACGGCCGTGTTTGCTGCGCCTGAAATCTGCCAGCAATGTCAAAGCAGTAACTTTCATTTTGCTGCTGTCTTGCCTGCCCCGCAAGTCACGTTCACGATCAACCAGTGGTGCAAATACCTCCCTTGCTGAACCAAACGAACAGGGTAGCCTCCAGGGTGGAGTGTGCTACGGTTTCATGAGCACAATCACTTAAAGCACTGCTGGAAAATCGGAACCGAGTCGGTTCAACTGACAAGACTTGAAGCACTGCCTCCGAGAAAGGTGGAATCGTGCACATCGTCCGGACCACTGCAAGGTGAGTCTTGTGAGGCTGGCCAAAAACGTCTCTTTGCAAAAGGGCTTGAGACGCTTGAAACGTCAAAGATTAGGTTGTCTATCTGCAGCGTCAAGTTGAAAAATCCTGCGCACAGGATGTCATCAAAAAAACAGATACGTCTGTTGCTAGAGATCAAGAAATTTCACCTATCACATGTTGAAGATATCGGCCAGAAATTCGCAAGACCGGGCCTGTGAAGAAGAGAAGGCTTCGGTTGCGATTGTTCCAGGGCAGTGGGCCACAGGGATTGTAGACTGTCTTCACCTACAGAACAAAACACTCAACCCAAAATCTCTTGTTGCCTGCTATCAAGCACTCTTCTCACCCGCCTTGCGTTGAGGGAAGCTGCAATCAAATGATCCATTAACCTGTGGCCACGCATTTTGGTCAAGATCGTGGTGCTGCCCACATGTTAGGCTTTCTGAGCAAACCAAACAAGGGACCCGGTCCAGCTGCCACGCATGTGGATGCCACTCCTTAGCTAGCTAAAGAAGACTATGACACGACTCATGACCCACTTTTGTAGGTGGTAGAGGCAATAGAGTGAAGAAAGAAACAAGAGTCTTGGTGCAGGTCCTTCCAATGAAGACTATATATCTATATCTGGATCCAAAAAAGAGTCACGACTTGAAGAACCCTCGCTCTCCAAGCACACTAGGAACCCTTCTTCAAGGAAGCTCTACCCCGCCCTCAGGCGGGAGCTTCCTTGAAGAAACCTGAGCCCTTCTCTGTCCACGCCTAAGAAGCTACCTACTTGGCCATATAATGTTGTTCTATTATGTTTTACATACAAAGGAAAACAAACCTGAATCAACTCACCACTGCCGTGCTGCTCCGCGAGGAGGGCCATGCGCCCAGGATCCGACCACCCCGACATGGCCAAGCTCTTCGAAACGTGCATCTCGCATCTTCTTTCTTGCACTGCTGTAGGCTGATCTCGCATGCCGCTTGGAAAAATATGCTCATGCTTGGGCTGCTTGGGCTCCGAAGGACATAACTGTAAGGAGTTACCTTGTTATCATGTGCCCCTGTCATCGTAGATGTGGCGATCTTACACTTCTGGTTCTGTGTCACTCTGAAACTGGCATCGTATGAACCTGCGACGACTTTGCCACTGAAGAAACTCTCAACTCAATACAATCTGTTCGGAATGCCTTCAATTAACAAAACATAAGAACCATAACAACAAATACACGTGTAGTGCTGTGGAGCTGATGCAACCAACCTTCTGCGATTGTTACAGGTCTCAAAGAGCAAGCCGCTTCAGAATGTTTGAAACATTTTAGTGCCACCATGGCGCAATGATGGTCGTAAAAGTTACACTGACAAGCCAGCCCTTCAGGTTTCACCACTCGCTGTGAAGCGAGACCTTATGAAAATACTGCTCAGTTTGTCTGTGTCCATCCAACGACCAGCTTACACAACCCAAAAGCCTCGTGACACCTTGTCAATCAAGGACGACTAGTCATTTGACGACTTTGGCATGAGCTTAAATACATACAGTAAAAATATGCTGTTGGAACAAGCACCGCTGCTTTTCTACCCAGCCAGTATTAAGAAGTCGGACACGCCGTGGTATTCCGGCCCCATCATTGCTGGATATTGGCCACGTTCAATGCTGGCGATCTTGGCTGGACACGTTATTGAGAAGATGCTTGCAAAACCTTCTCTCTTTGAGCTCCTGACATCAGCTCTCAATTTCGAAAGATCATGCCTGGTCAAGGCTCGACCCAAGGGGGTATCTCGGTATCTCGGTCTCTGTGCATTTGACCATCAACCCATTCCAGGTACGTCCGCAGGTCCATGTGCTTTACTGCACAATAATGATGAAATGACAAGGAATACGATTCGATCTTGCTGTAGATGGTCTGCAGCAAGAGTGCCAAGCAGGCTATCGGATTCAGAAGGAAATCAGCAAGTACAGCAAAAGTTGTGGCAATGTCTGACCCCCTAAAGTTATGATGTACCTTACAGCCTAACTCTGAAATGAAATCTCAAGGATTCATAAAAAAGCAAAAAAAAGGCAAAACCACACTCACAAAGGATGAGCAGGAAATGCAAAAGAAATGCATAAAAAGAGCAAAAAAAGCAGCTGGTCAAAAAGAGTGCATATCAAAAAGCAAAAAAATGCAAAAGGAAGCCAGAAAAAAAAGCAAAAAAAAACAGAAAAAGAGTTCAAAAAAAAAATAAAAAAAATGCAAATGCACAACCAAATTTCACACACCACCTTTTTTGTGCGATTTTTTTGCATGTTTTTTGCATTTTTTGTGCGATTTTGTTGCATTGTTTTTGCATTTTTTGTGCGTTTTTTTGTGCGTGTGTTTCTTTCGATTGTTTTGCGTTTTCTCAAGGAAACGCCCAAAAAAATGCAAAAAAAATCGAAAAAAACCCGCAAATACAAAGCAAAAAAATGCAAAGGCAAAAACCAGAACGTTTTTGATCGCATGTGTTTTGCTTTTTGATTGCATTTTTTGTGCATCTGTTTTGCCTTTTTTGTGCTTTTTTTGCATTTTTTGTGTGTTTTTTGCATTGGTCTAGTGGCCAACTGCGTTTTTTTCGCTTTTTTTTTGCGTTTTTTTTGCATTCCAAGGCATCCTTTGGTGACTTGTTTTTGCGTTTTCTGTGCACTTTTTTCGGGATTGGTTTTGCATTATTTTTGCATTGTTTATGCATGTTTTATGTTTTGCTGTGTCATCAGAACTAGCTTTAGCGTACATCGTAACCCTAAAGTCACGCATGGCTTGTAGGAACTACAGCAAGCAATCTTTCACACTTCAAATGATCTGCATTCCAACCCTCACCCTTCTCACTTTCTCAGTCTTGCCATTGTCATTTAGAGATTAGTTGCGTTTGCTTGGGAGGAGACACGCCAAACAGCAGAACTCAGGTGTGAAGCAAATCAATAAAGCAAGTGCCTTTCAACATGTGGTGTTGGCCAACCAACGGAGTTACGTCCGATATGCATACGCAGTGCTTTTCAAGCTGCCTTACACTTGTCAAGGGCGCATGTTGAGACCAGGCACGATGCCAGTCCTTCAAGCTGCCCTGGACAAGAAAGCAACACGAACGAAGCAAACAAAAGCCTTCCTTCCTTTTTAAGCCCGGGGGGGTGGTGGGTCGCAAGTAGCTTACTAGCAGCCTAGGTACTAGTAGCTACAAGCTACTGGACGCAGAAGGGCTCAGGCTTCTCTTCCCCCCACCTGAGCCTTAATGATTTGGTTCCTAGGTTTAGGGGGAAACTGATCTAACTGCCTGCATTGCGAAAAAGACCTCACTTGGGCCCGACATGGTCCAACGGCCTGACTGTTCTCAAGTCTTCCGTGGGCCACAGGATCGGTGCACAACATCAGACTTGCCTGTTGCAAACGCTCGCCATTGCAAATAACACCTGCACAAGACTCTTGCTGAATGTGCACAAAGTCTTGTGAAGACAATGAGTATCGTTAAATTCACATTTGGATGGCAAACACTCACTAAGTCGCTCGAAAAGAAATATATATATATAGTGAAAACAGTTTTTCTTGTTTTCTGTGTTTCTTGGTTCTGCCAAAGTTCGGAGCAGTGGTCCCAAAGACTCGAGCAAGAGTACACAAATCAAGCTAGTATGCACAAAAATACTAAAGTAAACCAACCACAGCAAACCGCACAAAAATGAACTCTTCTTTCAGAACCATAGAGTGCGGCACAGAAAGTGCCTTTGCAGAATGACAATTCACGAATGATGTCTAGTCTTCCACGAGATACGGAACAAAGCAAAAAGAACAACATCTCCTCTCCAAGCGACATTCCAGCGCAGCCTCCCACGTTCTCATGCCACCACAAGACCTCACATACCTCGGCAAAATTGCTGATGAATGAAAGACATTGCAAAATCCTTAATTGCAGCCCGTTAATCTGATCTGTTTTTCAAATCCAGTTGATAGTAGCGTCTGTTCGCCACTACTTCAAAGCACACCCAAAGCACAAGCCCTGCCGCGACACGGAATCGATCTGCATGGCTTGCCTCAAAAAGTTGAAGCTTGAACTTGAAACCCTTGTATGCACTCCAAAATGATGTCGTCAGGCTTTGAAGACATTATTCATTCGTGGCCATTGCGCGCACCTCGAACTAGCTGCCCACCACACCGGTGCTCCTTCACACTATTGCGTGGAGGCAGCTTGCGGTAGCGTTTAGTACTCAGCAAGATAGCTCGGCCTGCAAACGGGAGATCGGCCAAAAACACACAGGAAATATGATTCCAAACCAACGTAAGTTGCCTTGGTTGCCCTTCACTTGGTGCTGACTTCAAAAATCTGTAGACTCTAAACTTTAAACCAGAAAGCTGTCCTTCATCCCTGCTGAGGAAATCCTCCGTGAATGAAACAAAAACAGCCTTGTCGTGTCAGACGATTTGCCTGGCAACGTATAGGGATGCTGGCACGTTGTGTCCTCCGCTTCCACAGAACCATACAATTGGCCAGAGTTCGCCTTTGCAATAGGCCTCACGACGCATAACTCAGGCCGAACTCAAACTGAAAAAAAGACTCAACAAAAGCTCCGCCTGGTGGTGGGCCGCTGCCGAAGTTTGCGAGATTCAAACCCAGGGAAAGCCGGACTCACCAAAACAAGATCTTGATTTCTTTCAAGCACATCAATTGCATCCTCGCAGGGTGCAGGTGACATTACACTTTACACGGGCAAGAAATACAAAGGTGTAGGTCGATACAGTATGCACACTTTACTACATCAAAATATATATAATGTTACCTTATATGTATATATACATACAAAAGGCTATTGGTGAAATGGTGTCTGCCTTTAGATTCAGATCACCAAATCTGATGTCCCGTCCTCCACCCAGGAAACATTCGGAGCAGAATACAGGATCCTAAAAGTCGCGCATAACAGAAATGCAAAATCCTGCACTCTTGCCATCTAAATCTAGTCTCGACCTGCTATGAGAACAGGGCATCCATTTGCAAACACAAGCCACTTCGCTAAAGCTGCCAACTTCCACCACAAGCCGCAACGAGTGCAGTGCAGCAAGTGGGCAACGGCAGTCACAGAATCACCAGCATGTCACCACCATGTTGGCCAGCAAGACTGGCAATGTCAAACTAAAACTGCCAATGCACCAAAGTTAAATTTCCTCCAATGTCCGAGGCACTGATCCAACTGGAAGATTGCGACATAAGGAGAACCGTGTGCAGCACATTTGTCGATTGCAAAATAGAAAGCCAGCTGTACATCGTCTGTCTGCGCATCGTCGAAAGAAACTCCGTGACCAGAAGACTGTCGCGTTGCGATGCTGTCATTCCACTCTGCCGTTCGGTTGACACCTTTGCTGTCTCTACGAAACTGGTTTGACAGTTTTTGATTGGTCCCTGAGAAAGCATGTTGGAGTGTCAGCCACATTGTACAGGCTGCCGATCACACATCTTATCAAAGAGACATAGTCATAGTTGGTACAGTCCCTTTAAATAGCTCATGGTTGCCACACTCATTTCAACGTGAGCTCGATTTCCAAATCCCTCCAAGAAGCTGAGTTTGTAGCTTGGTGAATAGTCCACAGTCGTCCAAGTATCAACAGAGTTCTCTCGCACCAGCTCATCAGCAATAGACTGCATTTGAGGTGAGACTTGGACACCTACAACAAAGGACATCGCTGCTAGGAGCAAAGGACGCTACTAGGGGCTCCTGGCCTCGCTACTAGGAGCAAAGGACGCTACTAGGGGCTCCTGGCCTTACTACGCTACTAGGAACAAAGGGCATCGCTACTCTGACTAGCGAACAGCAATGCACTCTGCAACGAGGCTCAGGCAAACAAACATGACAAGCCCAGAAGCTCCAACACATGCAAATGCTTTCCCATCCCTGCTTTCCCATCCCAGCCTCGTGTGTCCTGAGTCCCCAAACAGAA